GTCACTGTTGAACATTTTGTGTGGCTAGTACAACATTTAGCGTCACTGTTGAACATTTAGTGTGGCTGGTACGACATTTAGCGCCACTGTTGAACATTTAGTGTGGCTGGTACGACATTTAGCGTCACTGTTGAACATTTGGTGTGGCTGGTACGACATTTAGCGTCACTGTTGAACATTTAGTGTGGCTGGTACGACATTTAGCGTCACTGTTGAACATTTAGCGTCACTGTTGAACATTTTGTGTGGCTAGTACAACATTTAGCGTCACTGTTGAACATTTTGTGTGGCTAGTACAACATTTAGCGTCACTGTTGAACATTTAGTGTGGCTGGTACAACATTTAGCGTCACTGTTGAACATTTAGCGTCACTGTTGAACATTTAGTGTGGCTGGTACGACATTTAGCGTCACTGTTGAACATTTAGTGTGGCTGGTACAACATTTAGCGTCACTGTTGAACATTTTGTGTGGCTAGTACAACATTTAGCGTCACTGTTGAACATTTTGTGTGGCTAGTACAACATTTAGCGTCACTGTTGAACATTTTGTGTGGCTAGTACAACATTTAGCGTCACTGTTGAACATTTTGTGTGGCTAGTACAACATTTAGCGTCACTGTTGAACATTTAGTGTGGCTGGTACGACATTTAGCGTCACTGTTGAACATTTAGTGTGGCTGGTACGACATTTAGCGTCACTGTTGAACATTTAGTGTGGCTGGTACAACATTTAGCGTCACTGTTGAACATTTAGTGTGGCTGGTACGACATTTAGCGTCACTGTTGAACATTTAGTGTGGCTGGTACGACATTTAGCGTCACTGTTGAACATTTAGTGTGGCTGGTACGACATTTAGCGTCACTGTTGAACATTTAGTGTGGCTGGTACGACATTTAGCGTCACTGTTGAACATTTAGTGTGGCTGGTACAACATTTAGCGTCACTGTTGAACATTTTGTGTGGCTGGTACGACATTTAGCGTCACTGTTGAACATTTTGTGTGGCTAGTACAACATTTAGCGTCACTGTTGAACATTTAGTGTGGCTGGTACAACATTTAGCGTCACTGTTGAACATTTAGTGTGGCTGGTACGACATTTAGCGTCACTGTTGAACATTTAGTGTGGCTGGTACAACATTTAGCGTCACTGTTGAACATTTAGTGTGGCTGGTACGACATTTAGCGTCACTGTTGAACATTTAGTGTGGCTGGTACAACAATTAGTGTCACTGTTGAACATTTTGTGTGGCTAGTACAACATTTAGCATCACTGTTGAACATTTAGTGTGGCTGGTACAACATTTAGCATCACTGTTGAACATTTAGTGTGGCTGGTACAACATTTAGCATCACTGTTGAACATTTAGTGTGGCTGGTACGACATTTAGCATCACTGTTGAACATTTAGCATCACTGCTGAACATTTAGTGTCACTGTTATATAACATTTAGTGTCACTGTTGTATAACATTTAGTGTCACTGTTGTATAACATTTAGTGTCACTGTTGTATAACATTTAGTGTCACTGTTGTACAACATTTAGTGTCACTGTTGTATAACATTTAGTGTCACTTGTATAACATTTTGTGTCACTGTTGTACAACATTTAGTGTCACTGTTGTATAACATTTAGTGTCACTGTTGTATAACATTTAGTGTCACTTGTATAACATTTTGTGTCACTGTTGTACAACATTTAGTGTCACTGTTGTATAACATTTAGTGTCACTGTTGTATAACATTTAGTGTCACTTGTATAACATTTTGTGTCACTGTTGTACAACATTTAGTGTCACTTGTATAACATTTTGTGTCACTGTTGTGCAACATTTTGTGTCACTGTTGTACAACATTTAGTGTCACTTGTATAACATTTTGTGTCACTGTTGTGCAACATTTTGTGTCACTGTTGTACAACATTTAATGTCACTTGTACAACATTTAGTATCACTGTTGTACAAACTGTATTGCCACTGATATACAAAATTTAGTGTAGCTGATGTGCAACATTTAGTGTCACTGTTGTACAGCATTTAGTGTCACTGTTGTACAGCATTTAGTGTCACTGTTGTACAGCATTTAGTGTCACTGTTGTACAGCATTTAGTGTCACTGTTGTACAGCATTTAGTGTCACTGTTGTACAGCATTTAGTGTCACTGTTGTACAGTATTTAGTGTCACTGTTGTACAGCATTTAATGTCACTGTTGTACAGCATTTAGTGTCACTGTTGTACAGCATTTAGTGTCACTGTTGTACAGCATTTAGTGTCACTGTTGTACAGCATTTAGTGTCACTGTTGTACAGCATTTAGTGTCACTGTTGTGCAGCATTTAGTGTCACTGTTGTACAGCATTTAGTGTCACTGTTGTACAGCATTTAGTGTCACTGTTGTACAGCATTTAGTGCCACTGTTGTACAGCATTAAGTGTCACTGTTGTACAGCATTTAGTGTCACTGTTGTACAGCATTAAGTGTCACTGTTTTACTGCATTTAGTGTCACTGTTGTACAGCATTTAGTGTCACTGTTGTACAGCATTTAGTGTCACTGTTGTACAGCATTTAGTGTCACTGTTGTACAGCATTTAGTGTCACTGTTGTACAGCATTTAGTGTCATTGTTGTACAGCATTAAGTGTCACTGTTGTACAGCATTTAGTGTCATTGTTGTACAGCATTTAGTGTCATTGTTGTACAGCATTTAGTGTCACTGTTGTACAGCATTTAGTGTCACTGTTGTACAGCATTTAGTGTCACTGTTGTACAGCATTTAGTGTCACTGTTGTACAGCATTTAGTGTCATTGTTGTACAGCATTAAGTGTCACTGTTGTACAGCATTTAGTGTCATTGTTGTACAGCATTTAGTGTCATTGTTGTACAGCATTTAGTGTCACTGTTGTACAGCATTTAGTGTCACTGTTGTACAGCATTAAGTGTCACTGTTGTACAGCATTTAGTGTCACTGTTGTACAGCATTTAGTGTCACTGTTGTACAGCATTTAGTGTCACTGTTGTACAGCATTTAGTGTTACTGTTGTACTTCATGTTGAGGGCGAAAACACCAATGAAAACAGGAAGACAGAGCCAGAGCGACACCGATACCCGGCACACATCAGTCAAAAACTGAGCCCTAGGCCATCTCCCCCTCCCCCCCCCCAACGAGGGGTTGGGTGGAGCTAAGGTGCAGGTGGTTAGTTGGACGAAGTTTTGGTCGTTTTCTTTTATTTTGAGAGTTCTTTTGATATGGTTTTGTGTCTAGTACAGTATTAAACCATGCAGTGGTTTGTTTTGATACACCTACCTACCTTTTTATTTCTATTTTTTTATTTATATATGCAAGAGTTCTTACAGTCTTGTAAAGCCATTAGCATGCATAGCATTTTGGGCAGGTCCTTGATACTAATTTTTCCCAGAATGTGACCTGCAAAATCGCTTATTTAACCAGGTACCTATTCACTGCTGAGTGAACAGAGGCTACAGTTAAATATTGACATCTAGTCAATCCTCCCTGTCCAGGATACGAACCCAGGCCAAAGCTCTCGCGAAGCGCCGGGTGAGTGTCTTGCCACTGCGCCCCGGGGACTGCAGATGTTTCCCTGGTGGTGGCAGAAATTATATGCTTTAATGGTAAAGTATTTATTTATTTATTTATTTATTTATGCATATACAAGAATGTACATAAGGAATGTGAGGATACAAATATGGTAATTACAGTCTTGTAAAGCCACTAGCACGCGCAGCGTTTCGGGCAGATGTGTATTCATGTGCTATCAATCCCTTCGCCTCTCTGAGGGAGCCAGGTTCTGGCTCGTGGTTCCCAATAGGCATACAAGTACTCCGTGACTGATGACACTCAAAGTAGTATGGCACTTAATTCAAGAGCAAGATAGCTTCAGGGGGCCGACGGCACTCCCCACAGAAAAGACCTGATTATGGATTTTACCTTTAAAGATAATTTTTTGTTGAACTTATTGATACATTATGATTTAAATTTTACTCTGAAGTTTTTTCGCCTTAATACTTTTCGTGGTTCCTTTGGACCTTTTTAGTGTTCAGATAATTGTGAGTGTGTGTGTGTGTGTTTGTCGCCACTCAATAAATTGCTCATGATCTGAATGCTTCACTGGAATCTGAATTCATTTTCTTTCTTGTTATGTCTGCTTTTGCAAAAGTCTTCTTTGAGATTATAATGTGTTCATTGAATTTGTTGACCAATTAGTTTCCTTTCTAGACTTTTAAATTAAAATTTTCTTTAAAATTCTTTTCAGCTGTTTTTATCTCGTTTTCAGATGTGTTCATGTACATAACACTTGATAATCAATATATAATTGATTATACTGTTTAATAATATGTATATTTAATAATATATATATTTAATAATTGATTTAATTGATTATACTGTTTATATTTCAGCATAAGGCCTTCACTATGCCTCCCTAATACTGTACAGGGTACATTTATGTATGCTATACTATAGAGTAATTAACAATAGGTCTGTGACCTCTTGCCACAGAGAGGTTTATAATGCAGGTCTCGAGGTACTGTACTGTTCTGTATTGTACTTCATGTATGAAGTCCATGATACTCTTATGTTTGAGAAAATGTTTCTATTATCTTTAGAGTTCACTCTTTATAGTACAGTATCTGTAACTTTGAAGGCCTTTATCCCTCTTGACTTGTGAGTCCCTAATATTAATATTTTAATTTTATGTTATATACTGACATTAATTGTGTCAGTGGTTCTTAATACTGTACTGTAAATAACTTTAAATTTTGTAGTTGCTGTAAAATATTTTATCAACATTTTACCTGTGTTATTTTCACATTGTTCTGTGTCTTTTCATGCTCTCATTTTAAATATTACTTTTCAATACAGCATATCAGTTTTCTGATTTCATTCACTTTCTCCTGAAAAAAGTTACAACTAATTTAAAAAAAAAAATAGTTTTATAATACAGTATACACACATGTTCCTCAAACACACTTGATATTTCAGGCACAAGGCTGGTGCGTATTTTCAAGTTCAAATCTTTCGTTAAAGTTGGATAGAAAATATGAAGATGGCGTGTATGAAGTAAAGAAGCATTCATAGCAGAATCTCCAACATGGCAGAGCCCCACCCGCAGTACCCCAATAAAATCCACAAGGTTACGCAGACTGGCTTTGATGGGCCACAGCTGCTCCACCATCCAACTGCCAATGTATATGGAAATGTGCATTTTGAGGACAACACCTTTGTGAAGGAGCAAAATAAACTACGCACCCAGATTGAAATGTGGCTTCAATCTGGTGAAAAGCCGTACGAGTGTGATGGATGCAATAAAAGGTTTGCACAGAAAAGTCATCTGAACAGTCACATGCTGGTTCACACTGGTGAAAAGAAGTTTGAATGTGACTTATGTGGTAAAAAATTCACAATGGAAAGCCACCTGAATGGACATATGCTAGTACATAATACCGAGAAAAAATATGATTGTGAAGTATGTGGTAAACAGTTTGTTCAGAAGAGCCATCTCAATGGCCATATGTTAGTACATAGTGAGAAGAAGTTTGGTTGTGAAATATGTGGTAAGCGATTTATTCTGGAAAGTCATCTCAATAGCCATATGCTTGTGCATAGCGAAAAGAAATTTGCATGTGAGCTGTGTAACAAGAGATATACTCACAAAAGTCACCTCAACAGCCATATGCTTGTACACTGTGAAAAGAAATTTGAATGTGAGGTCTGTGGCAAAAGGTTCATTCAGCGTAGTCACCTAAACAGCCACAGGTTCGTGCACAGTGAGGAGAAGAGGTTTGAATGTGAGGTGTGCTGTAAAAGGTTCTCTCAAGAAAGTCATCTCAATAGCCACAGAATTGTTCACACTGAAGAGAAAAGGTTTGAGTGTGAAGGATGTGGGAAACGATTTGCCCAGAAAAGTCATCTAAATAGCCATCGGTTTGTACACAGTGAAGAGAAAATGTACGAGTGTAAGGAGTGTGGCAAGCGCTTCACTCAGGAGGTTCACCTCAATAGCCACAGATTTGTGCATAGTGATGAGAAAAAGTTTGAAAATCAGGATTGGGGTAAACGGTTTTCACAAGAAAATCATATAAATGGGCATAGATTTATTCATAATGAACTAAAAAGATATGAATGTGACAAATGTGGCAAGAGGTTTATGTTGAAAAGTCACTTGAACAGCCATAAGTTTGTGCACAGCGAGGAAAGAAAATTTGAATGCCTCGAATGCGGCAAAAGATTCACTCAAAAAAGCCATCTCAACAGCCACAGATTTGTACACAGTGAGGAGAAGCTGTACGAGTGTCCGGATTGTGGGAAACGCTTTGCTCAGCAGATTCACCTAAGTAGTCACAGATTTGTGCACAGCCTAGAGAAAAAATATGAATGCGAAGAGTGTGGAAAGCGCTTTACTCAGGAAAGTCATCTCAACAGCCATAGGTTTATGCACTCAGAGAAAAAGGGGTTTGACTTTCAGGATTGTACTAAGTTGCTGCCTCAAAAAAATCATTTGAACAGCCTGGTTGTGCCAGTAGTGCCAACTGAAGAGAAGGCACCAGTAACTTATGAGGAGACTGGAAAGATCTTCACTCCCCAGCCATACCAACCTGCTTACTCTTACGGTCATCTTACTGGACAGCTGTCAGACAAGGTTCGGACTCTATGGCCTCTGTAGCCAAGGTTCGAAGCTGTCTTACAGCTGCTTGGCAAATAAAAAAAAAAATGATTACTGATCATGTAATCAAGCACATTATATGTTTTTGAATTGTCTCGGTGTTAATATTGGGCATACTCATAGTGACACTAGTAAGAATTAGGGAGTAGCTAAGTAATGTATATTGTATGGGGTAGGAATACGTCAACACCCACAGACCAAATCTGTAAACTTGGTGCATTATGGTCTATTTTCTGTCCATGAGCAAACACGTTTCTTAAATCTTACCTTGAGTTTACATTCATTTATGTACAGTACATTGTTGATATTTCAGTGATTTTTTAATTGTTTCCAAACTAATTATAGTATCACTCAGCTTTAAAATGAAATATATATTTTGATGAATACCTTAGAAAATGCTGATGTGCATTGTCTCCATGATGTAATATGGGCATCGTGTACTGATTATATAGAAGGGTGCAGCTCTTATGGTTTTCCTTGTTTGCACTCTTAGGTAATGCAGTATCCTACTACACTACTCTAGGCAGAGTATACTATTCACTTTGCTACCGTGAGTCAGGTAAAAGGGTGCACAACACATTCCAGTTTCATCAGATCCTCCACTCTCTCCCACTCCCAACCCCCTATGCAATGTACCTCGCATGTAGCATACCTATTCTGAAAACATTTTTTAGGATTGAACTAACTGGTTTCCTTTGCTCTCGATGATGGAATTTAAATTGTCAGCTGATGCAAATTATATTTGTAAATTGCTCAGCAATTTCAATCTGTTTTCCATGTAAGACTGATAAAGTCAAAGCAAATTTAGTCTATTTTAGTTATCTTTAAAAAAAAATTCATACTAAACTATCAGCGATAAATATGTTGTATTTTTGGGGAAAGTGCTTGAAAATGTTGGAATCGTATTAGCATTTGTGCTGCATTTTAGTGTTCACACATAGAATGAACAATACATCAGTAACGAGGAGGGCGAGGGTCGCTGCAGTAGCAGCCATATTAATTACAAATACTGTCTGTAACTAGTAAGTCACAATACCTTAGCTGAAAATTAAACACCCAACCCACACATCTGAAAATAAAGGGAGTGACAATGTTTTGATATGTCACAAAACTTGATAATTGTCCAGGATGGACCAAAACGTCATTACTTTATTTCAAGATGTGTGTTGGATATCTAATTAGAAACAGTTTTCGTTAATGAGGACACCAGTAGTGACTTTATTGACACATTTAAATACAATCAAGGTACAGTATATTAAAAGACCTTGTATTTATTATACTTTTTAGTTAACACCTCATCTATCTCATATGTTTGTGTAATGTATGCTTATAGGCCTTATTTTGTTAATAACCTCACTGATGTCAAAAATACATGATGTTAATACGGTACTATGAAACGATTCAAAATCATTCAGCCCATTCTAACAAGACAGTTCTCGGTACCTTAAGATAGCCTACCAATTGTGGGATCACTCTTAAGAAATGTCTATTCTATCATTTTTATATATTACAGTACTATATTGTACTGTACTATACAGTACAGTACATTCCCTGTACTGCTTAATATTCTTCATTTACTCTTTGCCTATTTTGGCAAGTGCAAGCTATACCATTCTACTATTAGACATACAGTCTATTGTGGTTGTGGTTCAATTTATAGCTAGAAAGAACTGACTGAGGCTTACTTAACCCTTAAACTGCGCAAAACCTCATGATGTCTGACATTGAGCTCAGTTTTCTAAATTTTCTGAAACTCTTTCAAATGTTTTGTGAATAATCTACTAGGAAAATGCTCCAACTTTGTCTAAGGGTTCTTTCATTGTAACTTAGAATCCTTTTGACACCATATAATTCTGGCCTAAAATTGAAGTAATAGGGTTGAACAACATTAAAAAGATGGCATAAACAATGAAACTAAGTAATCTCAAAGTAACTTAGTTATTGTTTAATAAATGTTGAAGTAAAATAAAGTTTAAGAGTATCACAAGTAAGCATTCTTGGGGTAATGATGATGAAGGAGAACTGAGAATGTGTTCCCATATAATTCCTCTGTGACTGTTGAAATTTGAATAATAATATTTTTATTAATGAATAAAATTTCATACTGTATAGGATACTGTACTGAGATTGTAAGCCAATATTTCCTCTTTCGTATATGTGATCTTGTATCGTCAAAAGATATATATGCACCGAGTATAGCAGATAGGCTATGATAACCTTCCATATGGCAGAAATGACAGTTTTTGCCCGTGTCTTGTGTATCAATGATGATCATCACATAAAAAATAAATAAATAAATGTTTATTTAGGTAAGGTACATACATACAAGAGATTTGACAAAGATTGATGGATTTATAGATAGAGCTAGTACATACAATGCCTAAAGCCACTATTACGCAAAGCGTTTCGGGCATGAGCAAAGATATCTTGCCTATTCACAAATTTATTGAAAATGTGAAACGGGAAATCACTACTACCACATTGCCTTTACTTTGTTTGATCCTGAAAGTATTTGGTGCAGCTGTGGTGAACACTTGAAGGTTTACTCCTTTTATCAAAGCTCCCCAATATTTTATAAATGCATTAATATAAAACTTAGAAATCAGTGTTGTAAATATGTATGTGTATATCTTGTAGAATAAAGCGTACTTAATTTCACTCACAATAAATATATATGTGTATGTGTGTGTGTGTGTGTGTGTGCAACCCATCCTCCTGTTTAGATGGTACAATACTTTGTGTAACTATGTGGACCATTGTACAATACATACATAAACATAATGGACAATTAGAATTTGGTACTATTTGCTTTATTAGAGTCCAAAAAAAATAAAGCTAAAAACCAAGGTTAAATATTTGTAAGCCTAGTATAAGACATAAATGTCCTCTCCAATACTTTGAGGAAACTGGCCATACACTAAATGACAGACTTAAGGAACACAACAGAAATGTTAAGTCTGCAGACACAAACAATACTTTCCAATCATCCTATTGATTGGTCTTCTAAAATCCTTTTAATAATCCTTTTAATAAAATAATCTTTCCTGCCTCTACTGTACTCTTCACGGATGCCAACTTGTCGAATCGGCCCTTATACACAACATAAACTTTAGTCCTGGCTTTGTTGCTGTTGACTCTTTCTTGCCTTACTTAATGCCCATGCCTCCCTCGCTCCCATCACGATCGACTTGATAATGGTCAAGGATGGACCGAAACATCGTCGTCTCCTTATCTTCTGGTGTGTGATTTGGACATCATAAATGTACAATATTAAGCCTAAGAAGGTTACTAGGTTAACTTTTCTTTGGAACATCAATACAAATACTTTTCTGGTTAGTCCAAATTCAATAGTACTGATTTCTACTTTTCAATTGCCTATTACGTCAATATATGTATGATGGTCCTCATCGTTACCATGAGTGCTGCCTAAACAGGAGGATGGGCTGGTGTGTAATTACCTAAGTGTAGTTACAGGATGAGAGCTATGCACATGGTGTCCCGTCTTCCCAATACTCTTTGTCAAATAATGATTTGAAACTACTAACGGTTTTGGCCTCCACCACCTTCTCGCTTAACTTGTTCTAACCATCTTCCACTCTGTTTGCAAAAGTAAACTTTCCAATATTTTTTTGGCACTTTTGTTTCCTTAGCTTGAATCTGTGTCCTTTTGTTCTTAATGTTGCTGGTTTCAGGAATTCCTCTTTGTCAATTTGGTCAATTCCTGTTATTATTTTGTAAGTGGTGATCATATCACCTCTTTTTCTTCTACTTTTCTAGCATTTACATATTTAATACCTCTACCCTCTTCTCGTAACTTTTGTTTTTCAGTTCCGAAAGTCATTAGCATATATTTTCCTATATCTGCCCCCCCCTCACACACACACACAAGCACACAATGAAGTACTCAATAACATTAAATTAACGTTTATTGATCAGAGTACAAAGTAAAGCTTGACCATGCATATGTAAGAATGCTACATACCTTAATGTCTCCATAACAAAGTTGTCAGCTCTTTCAGCTTTCTTTGCTCTTATTGGAGTTCATAGCCTGATTGCTAGAACAATGTAGGGTCCATGCATATGAATGCTCAAAACTCACTTTATGGTCTGATGAATTAATGTTAGTTTCATGTTATTGTGAACTTCACCTTTTGTGATGAGGATGTGAAGAGGTTGTACGGCACCAGTTACTTCAGTGGCTTCCCAGCAAGGTTGTAAGCTGATTTGATACATTATGATATCTCCTGCTTTCCTTGCTTCTATGGAAGTTCATGGCCTAGTTGCTAGAACAGTGTGTGTATAGTGTCCCTGCATGCGTATGGTTGAAACTAATTGATTAGGTTATATTAATTAGTAACAAATTTGTTGCCTGAACATTGTTTCTTTTTCAGTTAAGATTTTACAAAAACCTGTGTAACTGGAAAGAGCATAGATTAATTCTGTTGTCGATTACTAACTAAATCTAACTTTGTCATATGTAATGAGTTAGATAAAGTTAGAAATGCTTAAGTAGATTAGATAAGAATTGATGAGTTGAATACTGTTGAGATTTTGATGTGTGCATCTCGTTGAACTGTCTGTTGGTGTGTCCATACTAAGAAATTCCTTACAAAATTTGTTTTATAGAACAATTGAATGTTTTGACAGTTTGCATAATTAGAAAAAATATACTGTACATTGTATTGTACAGTGTGTGTATGACAATGCCAGACCACAAACGAAGAAAGGATTAAGACAGGCAATTCCTTGAGTACTTTTGTATGTAATAATACTGTACATCTTCAGAAGGATTCTTCTGAAGATGTATTATTAAATACAAAAGTACCTAAGAAATTTCCTGTCTTAATCCTGCCTTCGTAGTCTGACATTGTCACATTGTTCACCATGTGTTAATTTCTTTGTGATTTACACCATGTGTTAATTTCTTTGTGATTTACATGCACACACACATTATATATACCTATATATATATATATATGACTATATATATATATATATATATATATATATATATATATATATATATTTGTGCAATAATTGGCTGTTGATTGCTGGTGTTGACTTCTTGATGTGTAGTGCCTCGCAAACGTCGAGCCGCCTGCTATCGCTGTATCTATCGATGATTTCTGTGTTGTTTACTAGGATTTCTCTGGCGATGGTTTGGTTATGGGAAGAGATTATATGTTCCTTAATGGAGCCCTGTTGTTTATGCATCGTTAAACGCCTAGAAAGAGATGTTGTTGTCTTGCCGCAAGATGTTGTTGTCTTGGGCAAGACAACAACATCTCTTTCTAGGCGTTTAACGATGCATAAACAACAGGGCTCCATTAAGGAACATATAATCTCTTCCCATAACCAAACCATCGCCAGAGAAATCCTAGTAAACAACACAGAAATCATCGATAGATACAGCGATAGCAGGCGGCTCGACGTTTGCGAGGCACTACACATCAAGAAGTCAACACCAGCAATCAACAGCCAATTATTGCACAACTATATTCTACCCACCTCAAGACTCCGCTCCAATATAGAAGCATCAAGAAATATATATATATATATATATATATATATATATATATTAGTTAGTATATACATACATATGTATACAGCAAATACATACACATACATACATGCATATACTGTATATGCACGAATCATTATGAAGCAAGAATAAACTGGGAGACTTTGAGACTGATGAAACAGTGTTGAACTGGAATTAATTTTGTCTTGGACCAATATTTTTTCCTTTGGGTCATACATACAGTAACTTATTTCTGTCACTGTTCGTTCTCCCCCTTATAAGCTTCATTTAAAATGTAGTTTAGAATATCTATATATATGTAGTTGTAAGCAGCGGAGTAACTAATAAACTACCTATGAGAAGACTTGTAATTATCAAAGATGAAACGTAATTATGAGTGAAGTACAGTATTATAATTTTCGGTGACAGTGCATTAAACCTCCCCATCAACCCCAATCTGTCTGGTAGTGGTTTCTGTCTTAAATAATTTTTCAGTAATAGACATCACCATAATGATCAAACTTTTTTAAATAGATTATGATATAGCTGAAAAAAAAAATATTTACAGATTGCCTTCAATGTGTATAACTTGTCATTCAGTAGGATGCTTAAAACCAATGCATTTAACCCACTGTGAGAAGGAAGCACAATAACTTAATGTTGGTGCATTCTATAGTTTAAGTTCATTGGTGTATGACTTAGTGATATTTACCTAATATCACTAAGAAATGCAAATCTAATATACAAACAATGCACGTGACATTGTTTGCTTGGTTTGGTGTTTGATCATCTGTTAATCGTGATGGTAAAATTGTTAAGGCTGTGACACCATAGCTTCCTTACCAACTAACAAATACATTTTTCCCGAACAAAGTTCAGTACTAAAGTAAACTTGGAAGTGTATATCTATCTGAGAGGTTCAGTACACCTCTTGGTGTATAAACCTTGGGCATTTGCAAACTTTGGGTTGCTTAATAAAAAGTGGTTTACTTTGTTGTGTATAGGCCAGCTGTGGTAGTCAATTTGAAAATTTCCTAGGCTCTTAATTTATGATTGTTCACACAAATATGATAACAATTAATGAATTACCTGGTATATATTTTTATGGTTTACATAAATGACCAGATTTATTAATATTAAAATTTTCCTAGTCAATTGGTGCAATAAACTTCAAAGACCTGAATTGACATACACTATATTTTATTCTGGACTATATAATTTATTCAAAGCATATTTATTTAATATTATTTTCTGCTCATTGATACATTGAATAATGTAAATACTGTAACAGGTAAACCTGAACAAATTTTCATCCCATTTCACCATCAAAATATAAATGATCTGTTTATCCCCAAAAACATAACATATAAACTAATCCTAGTTAGTTGGAAATAAGCTTTAGCATATACAATATATTGAAAAACTACCAAATCAATTGATATTGTAATGAATTTTAATTGGGGTTGATGAGGTAATTGGAGGCTACACTCAGTAAAGATGATAGGGTGTTGAACATGACCTGAGAGCTGGTTGTCAACTGCTGACAATTTCACACTGGTCTTTTTCTACCAATCTTAGGACTTTATTGCGGAATGATTATTTATAATACATGTTTAGAAACAGGAATCACTGAGCAGATCAGACAAAGTAGAGTTCACAAAGTAGGTGCTGGCGAGATGATATTTTAGCTCGTCTGCATTCTCGGGTGAATTTTTAGTGTCATTTATAGGGTATAACTGAATCATGTATGCATTTTGCTAAATAAATTTCTTTATATTACACAGAAAAAATAAGTCTTTATATTAAGCCTATTATATTGTTTAAATCTGATATTTGCAGGAATAGGGTATTTTTAAATGACATTTAACAGCCAGTTTTGTGTAAATGTGGTCAAAAGCTGATGTCGGATCAGGCGTCCTTTCCTTAGTTGCACGGAGTCTTACCTGAAGGCCACTAACACTAGTGGCCTTGACGAGGTCAGGAAGCCGGCAGCTTGTCGAAGGTTCTTCCCCCATTTGCCTTGATTTTTTTTCCAGTCGTACTTTAAAATTTAAGAGTTTTGGCATCTTCGGCGGGTAGGCAGTTCCATTGGGTTTATAACCTTGTGGGTGAAAGGCTTCTGTTCTCAGTCCTACATTGTGGCTTGTTGAACTTGAAACCGTTGCTCCTTGTTTGTGTTACAGTTGATCTTTTGAAGAAATTGTCCGGATGAACATCCTGCAAATTGTTCAGTATTTTAAAAGTTTCAATGAGATTCACCCTCTCATGCTGGTTTGCAGGGTGTCCGTAGAATTACCCAAATCTACCCAAATCCTGCTAGTATTACGTAAATAATGAAAAAAAATGTTATATTTACTCACTATAATGTTGGTGCTCTATGCAGAACATGAGGAAACCTATTTTTACTCTGAAATAATCTAATTTCATAACGATATTAGAAGTAATTAGATTATTTCAGAGTAAAAATAGGTTTGATCATGTTCTGCATTCAGCACCAACATTATAGTGAGTAATATACCATATTACTAGGAGAAACAAATCCACAAGGGCCGTGATGATTGTTCGAACCTATGTCCGGGATGATCCCAGACGCGCCTTAGTCGTCTGCGCCACGACATGGTAAAAGAATTGCAACCTGGAGTGCTACTGCCCCGGGGTTTCACACAATTCCCCCATGCACCCTGGGCTCTGCTTTGGAGAAACTGCGAGATCCTCATGAGGGCAGTAGCACTCCAGGTTGAAGTTCTTTTACCATGTGGCGCAGTCGACTAAGGTGCGTCTGGAACATAGGTTCGAACCCTCATCACGGCCCTTGTGGATTTGTTCATTTGATATATCATGCTATTGTGCCTTCTGTGTGTAGGATTTGGGTAATTCTACGGACCCATTTACAGCGTTGTTAGCCCAGTGGCCTTCAACCGTTCCTGATACATTATTTAAAATTATTTTTGAAATTATTTTTGTTGCCCCGGTGTTGCACTTTCTCCAGAGTAGCTATGTCCTTCTGAAGATGTGGTCTCCATGCTTGCACACTATAATTCAAATGGGTGACACGACCATAAAATCATCTATTATAGTGGGTAAAAATGTAATTATGTTTCTGCTTGTTTTCTGGGAGGAGCCTCCTTGGTGGCTGTCTGAAGCCATTTCAATAAGATGTCTTCCCACCACTAGGTCACACACCCGCTCCTGTGCCAGGTAAGTCCACTGCGGGCTCACCATAGCCCGTGCTACTTGCCCCGTTCATGTGCCAGGTAAGTTACGGGCTCACCATAGCCCGTGCTACTTGGAACTTGTTCCGAGTAGCTGAATTTATAACAACAACTAGGTCACATCAGTCACAAGTCCTGTTTGCCTTACTGAGGGATAAGTTGCACGCCCAATTAAACTTGTTTTATCTTTCAGAATGCAGACTGTATAACCAAATTTTCTTTTTTTTATTTTCTCAGAATTAAGAACTAATGGATAAATCTGCGAAATAAAGCTGATGAATTCCTCCCACTCATGTTATACTCATTGCTGGTACAGAAATACAAATAATTAAATAAAAGCAGCAAAATATACTACAGATGGAATTATAAGAATATGCTGAATATTGCAATTAATTAATTAATTTTCTAAACACAACAGCTTTAAACAAACGAAATTTACTGAAGTGCTCTCGGTGTGAAAATATTAAAAAAAAAAAAATCTAATTTTTATATTATTCATTCTCTATTTTAATGGAATTCATATATGTATTCGGTATTAGTTTAAAATAAAAATTATTTCCAACCCTTATCTAGCATCTAGCAGACCAATTTACATTATCTTTTTGAGTGGTTACCTTGATAAGCCTTTCCCAGTGGTCACCGTTAGTTGAAAACGGCCAACGTTACATATATTATGTAACGTTGGTCGGTTTCAACCAACGGTGCCCACTGGGTATTTGTATTTTAATGTATATGAAGTGTGGCAGCCGCCAACCTTTTTCAGAAGAGCGCAATCTTGACCTCACTTGTTCCCAAAAAAAGTGGGAGGAACTTTGTCACCTCTTTTGACCCAGCCTTCAGTACAAGGGCCTACAGCCTCCATGATCACTCGTTACAAACCCGTGCTGCCTCTGGGTAGCTGAATCTTCATCAATCAATCACGATCACTCCTTTACGGGATATTCATGCCCGTGCCACCTCTGGGTAGCTTAATCTTCATCTTCTGACCCAGTTAACTTGTAATTAAGTCCTCTTAAGATACACCAATATACAGTTAATCCTTCGACCACTTGAAATAGTTAACATTACATAGCTCACAATCAATAAGTACATTGTTCCACTTTACAAACAGAGATGCTAGCCATTCAAAAGGCTTTGGAACATGCTCTTGCTGAACACGGACAACATGTTATCATACATACAGATTCGAGAACTGACTTTGAAACCTTGCAACCAGAACACATATGTGATAAAATCCATCTGATCACAAATGTCATATCATTAATGCAAACACTCAAACGACAGCTTACATGTTTATAGAAAACACGTTTCCTACATGTTTCTGTTTGTAACTCATTTTGAATGTATATACTTTTACCTGAATAAACATTATTAATATTAAATACATTTTATTCAACTTTATAATGGTTAATGAACCCAATGTGTATAGTTTCGCTTGCCCCTATAAAATATCACGGAATGGGTATGGGGTGCATAAGAAAGAAAGAATCAATCCTATATTAAATATATAACAAAATGGGCTGGAGAACAAGAGCATATATATAGTCTCTCTAAGCTAAACAACCAGCATGTTTCATAATATGATTTGCTGTATTTGATTTGCTTTAGACAATAGTGAACAGTCGCCTGGGAAAGGTCACGAGCCACTTGGATGAGCTCAGAGGTTCACTGAACTCTTAAAAGTTCATTTACATAAATAATAACCCATAATAAATGACCTAAAAGCTATAGAAGAAAATAATAGCCACACACACACACATCCTTTAATCTCCCTAAGGCAATAGATTAGTATAAGATAATATATAAGGAGAGAGAGGAGAGGCCGCCGGCGAGAGGTTCAGTAGTGCCCCGGACCTCCACCATGGCTTCCACCGTCTCACGCTGCCTCTCCAGGGGTGTTTTTCTACCCTTGCAGACGCTAATTCAACCCAAAGTTAGTATTCTCAGCGAACACTATGATAAGATCTTGGCCAGGGTAATATGTATGGGGAGAGTGGAGTTAGAGGTGTGAGTGTGTGGAGCAGGTGTGTGAGAGGCTCTCTCTCTCTCACCGGTGAGTGTGTGGTCTCGTCCCAGACTAACTTAACTAACAGCTAATACTAACCTAACTCATTCATTCGGCTCTCTAAACAAATGTATTGATAACAAAATTATACTCAGTGTGATTGTATTGATGGTTGTGTGTGCTTATGGAAATTGTAACTACCTAACTTAAGGTATCGTCTCTACTGTATGCTTTTCTAACTTACTGTAGGGTAGGCATTTTGGCAGAGCTTATGTCTTTTTAACTGTCTAAACCTAATATGTTGTTAAGCTAGTCTGCCCTAGGTTAGGTTGGGTAAGATTAGGCAAGGTTAGGTAAGGATTTTTAAAGTCCATTGACTTTAAACTTTTAAAGTCTTGGTTACGATGTAATGGGTGTATGTGGTCACATCGTAGACAGGACGATTAAATAAATAAATAAATAAATGTTTATTTAGGTAAGGTACATACATAAAGAGATTTTACAAAGTTTGTTGGGTTAATAGATAGAGCTAGTACATACAATGCCTAAAGCCACTATTACGCAAAGCGTTTCGGGCAGGAAAAACATTAATGACTAAAGCTTAAAACTAATGGGTAAAAAGAATAAAATGTGTTGAGAACAAATAAAAATAGAGGTAAAAGAGGGGGGAACATGGTTGAAAAAGCAGCACAAATACAATTACAAATTATTACAGAAAATTACATTCAAACAGCGTTGTTTTGAAAAAAAACACAAAAAACATACATGGGTTGACAACAGAGGGGTAAGGTAGGTTACAGGGAATTTATTAGGTAGTGCTTCGTTTTTATCTTAAACTGGTTGAGAGAGGTACTGTCTTTAACATGGTTTCGACAATGTTCATTTTCTGTTTGTTAAAACCATGTATATTGTTTGGTTAGGATGTAATAGGTTAGGCTGTCTTTGGTTCAGTATGGTTAGACTGGGTTGGAATTGCTTGGTTTAACTTGTGTTGCTTCCGAGGTTCAATTTCCCCACAGCCTGGCCTCCTGACCAGGCCTCCTGGATGGTGGCCTGGTCAGCCAGGGTCTTAGGCACAGTTGCTCGCAGCCTGATGTACTAATTGGGGTATCCTTTGTATACAGTAATCTTTAAAATAAGAAAAATAGTACTTGCATTCAATGGGGTAAATATTTGATCTCTATACTATAGCAGTGAATGCAATAGTCATGAATGCAACGCTTGCAGTAATGAATCTGATGCGTTATTGAAACGAGCCAAAAATTCAATTAGATTTAGAATTATTCATAATAAAGGTATGTGGGTAATAAAATTAATAACCAAACCATTGTTGACCAAACCACACCCTAGAAAGTGAAGAGACGATGAAGTTGGTCCAGGACGGACCGAAACGTCGTCGTCTCTTCACTTTCTAGTGTGTGATTTGGTCAACATTTTTCAGCCACGGTATTGCGACTCTTCATCTCCAATAATAATCATTGTTTCAGGGGACAGGCAGTCAGTTTATACATACAGTATATGTTAGGCTTATATTGAGGTCCCCCTCTTCCCCATCCCTAGGGTCAAATTACTGACCCCAGGATGCAACCCCACAACAATCTGACTAACTTCTGGATACCTATTTATTGCTAGCTGAACAGAGGCATTAGGTGATTGGAAATACACCCAATAATTTGTTTTACTTGAGATTCGAACCCAATAATTCTCGATTGCACGTCTAGAACGAACCCGACTGTATTACTGTGACCCTAAATGTGAATATGTAAGTGTTTTATCAACATAACCACCCAACTTCCCAGAAAAAATGTTTCATTAACATACTGTATATCCATTATTCAAAATCTTTAGGTTAGGTAAGGGTTATACCTGGTATTGGTTCTCATTTCACTATAAAAAAGTTACATTTTGCTCTTACCTTTGATATAAGTACACAATTCATCTCTATTAATTAACAATACAAAATTTATCAAGAAAGTATCTAAAAGTATAGGTATACTCTAAAATATGTTAATGCTGTATGTACCTTGCTCTGCCTTGACTGTTATATTTATTAACTTGTCCATCCATATCACACACTATCTTCGCCTAGGGATCCACAACTAAAAATGTTATCAGACACAATAACTCATAAATCTGCAGGTAGAACAGTAACACCATTCCCAGACAGCATGCAGCATCCTTATTTAAATCCTTAAACCTGCTAAATATAAAAATCACTACAATTGCTCAAGTGTATGCTATATCTATAAGCATAATCTTGATGTGTGGCTTTACATGAATGTAAAATCACCTTAATTTCTATGTTATCTGTTAACCCCCAATATACCTTGTATATAAATAAATAAATATATAAATGTGTGTAGACTATTGTAAGTCAAAAGGAACAATATCACTTTAGATATGCCAATCTGTCCTCTCAACTAATGCACCTCATTTTATATTCTGTGGTCCCCAACATTCAAAATATGCGGCATTATGGGAAGTTGTGGCTCACAAATACCCACATTTTCTTTGCATAGGTTGGTTAGGTTAGGTCATGGTTTGGGTTTGTGCATTTTAGAACCCCTCATTTTGTATGTTGTAGTAAATCAAGAGAATGGGCTGGATATGCAGTAGTTTGTGGGTAACCATGTATCATTAGGAGCACCAGTGAGGTGGGGTGTCTTGCCAATGCTCCAAGTGGTCAGCCCTCCACCTGATGGAGGACTGACCTACTTGGAGTTAGCCCTTCAAATGGGTGGGGCTTGGGCTCCTAGTGGACTCAATTAAACTCCCTACACCCCTGTGTGGGGAGTTGAATTGTTTGCTAATTTTTTTATTCGGCATTTTGATTGGTGGTTATGTGATTTCTAAACATTTCTTGAGGAAAAGGTCTAGTGTTTTGAGACATTTTTGCGGGGGCAATTTCATCTTGGTACAGTAGTAGGATGATCTCTGATCTCCACAAGGTCCCTACCCTGTTGGCCTGAAGATGGGACAAGTCCCTGTGAAATGGTGCTTGTTTCCTGTGGACAGGGATCCTGTGTATCGATAAGTGTTCAGAGTATCAGTACCATATGTTCAGGGTAGCTACCAAGGAGAGTACCCAGAAACTGGCATTTCATTAAGCTCAGTACTCTATGTCTCGTGGTGTAGTCAATGTGATCTTTTCCTGCTGATGAACTTCTTGGAGTGAAGTAAGGTGAGGTGCCATTATTTCATGCTGACTGTTTAATCCAATATGTGTAATTGGGCTCTTAAGTGATTCATCACTAGTAACATTTCAGACTTTCACCTTAGTCTTCAAAGAAGACGGAGGTAGCCCCAATTTTCCAAGTTTTTGTTTGATTTACTCAATATTCACTTTGAGCACTATTTCTTTCCTTTACGTAGTGACAATTTCCAAGTGGCATAATGCAGGCAGAACTGTTTCTCCAAACCTACTCATTTTACCTCCCTCATGTGACAGGATTCACTACTGTATATATATAAAGATGAGTAATTATAGGGAGTCTCGTTTTTATTCGACATTTCCTTATATACAGTGTTAATTTTCTCTGAATATTGTACTGTGATTTTTATATTGGAACAAAATTGTTTACTGATATAATAACCAAACACTAGTAGTTTAAAATGCATGCATAGTTGTAGTGCTTTATATATAAGAAATTGTGTTTATCTTGATGTTAATATTTTAAATTACAGTACATTAATGCTTTTGGTATTCCAATAATGTCATTAATGCCAGACTAGTTTAATGGATTTCCTAGTACATAAAATATTGTGCATGTATTGTATTTAAATTTGAAATCATTCCTGCTGCCACCTTATCTTGAGTCTACACACAGATTCCTGTACGATATCTCAACTTGCTGGAATACCAGAGCAAGGTTTTGCTGGACAATCATGGAGTTACCGTACAGAGGTTTCGTATCCTTGACTCGCATAAAGATGCAGCAAAGGCTTCCAAATCCCTTAGTAAGTTGTGAATGAACAATATTATTGTAATTTCCTGAGCCAGGCTTATGATAGTAGAGCATTTTTTTGCTTGGTTTTGTGCTTGTAACTGTAAACAAAATATATACAGTACTGTATTGTAATACCATTATCAGGCACATTCTATTTGGGTCAAAATATTAAATATCAAGGTTATAGCTAAACCTCAAAAGTATGGATCATAGGACATCAAATTCATGTTGCTTCAAATTGCTGTGAAATTGTTCATTGCAGTACTGTACTGTAGAGTACAGTAGTCTGTCTATTTTTACAATACTTTTCAGCCTATAAATACTTTTAATGTACTTAATTAATATTGGTAACTTACAGCAAATATAGATGTTTCTCATAAGTTGGAATCACGTACCCAAAGCTTATACAGGTTTATAATTTTTATTTCATCAAGACACAGGTCATTAGTATCCATTCTTTAAAGCTTTAACATAGAGAATATTAGGGCAGATTTTCTACATGCTTTTAGAAGCAAAACCTGTAGTGAAAACTTACCCATTGGCTTATAATTATATTTTGGTTCCACACTTATAGATGCTGCTGAGTATGTAGTGAAAGCTCAGATATTGGCAGGTGGGCGTGGAAAGGGACATTTTGATAACGGCTTTAAAGGCGGTGTTCATCTTACTAAAGAGTGAGTATTTATTCCTTAAATTTGTGATTGTACAGTATAGCTTAGTGTTTATACTAGGAGAAAGTGGACAGTGAATCATTAGTACTGTATTTGATTCAGGATACAGTATACTGTATTAAAATATTCTTTGATATTTAATCTGCTACCTAAATTGGTAATCAGTACAGCTAGTACATTAGTTGAGTGATATTTTGTAAAGCAAAATTTGGGACACAAAATAGCTTGAACACTAATGAGATAACATCTTCACACAAATGACATTTTCTTATCAATGAAGCAATGACCCTTTGGCAATTTTTCATAAGTTTTTGTTATCTTAAAACTTGGTTAGTCATCTCTTATGATAACTCGATATTACATTTTCTGGGAGGCCCGTTGATGCTCTATACCTTACAAGCTCCTCTGTACTTTGCAGGTGCATTTACTAAATGAAATATGACTTGGCATAGTTTATAATCTCTCTGCTCTTCCACAAATATCTTTAAAATGCTTAGGTTGTGCTTTTATAAAGGGAATATTTAAGCAGAGAATCCATCAGTCTTGACCTTGGCCCAGCCCAGTATTGGTACAAAGCTTAAGAGTTTCTTCCAAGAATATTTTTTTGTTGTTGTTCGTAGGTTAATAAAATTATGGAGAAGTTTTGTTTACATTAATTGTGTTCTGTATTTAATAAGTCATAACTTTTGACTACTATATACCTTATTTAAATCTTTTTACAGTATATAAATTTGTTGGTCTGGAATACCTTCTGAAATCAAAGTCCAGTATTACAAGGAACTATGAAACTAGTGTACTGCACTGTCATATATGGACATATACTGTACTGTACTTGTATTACATCTGTTTATATGTAATGCAGTACCATTGTCAATGATATTATTGATCTTGTGTTTTGTACTCTACAGCTGTGAAGAAGTGGCAAATTTAGTGGAGAAGATGGTTGGCCATAAGCTGGTCACGAAGCAGACCCCTAAGGATGGCATCCTCGTTAACAAGGTTATGGTCGCCGAGTCTGTCGATATCCTTCGTGAAACATACTTTTGCATCCTTATGGACAGGTGAGCTTTTTCACTCAATCTATTCAATGAATCACATTTATTAAATAACATAAAATCCTATTCAGTTTCCAAAAAGAGAACAGTAAATGGATACTGTTCTGAATGCCATCATGAGGAAGCAAAAGACTACAGATGTTCAATATAAAGAAGCATGCATATTGAAAGTTATTTTATTTATTCATGGGTGATTTACCTTTTATAACTTAGTTAATTTTCTTGAATTCAATTTTGGTCTGCTAACACATCTTAACTATTTTGACAATTAACCGATTAGGGGACATTGATCCTTGGAACCCCCACAAGGTAACCACAAGGTAGGTAGATTAATTGGTTAATTGTCAAAATAGTTAAGATTTATATACAGGCAAATGATCTAGAGAGAATAGTCTGGTGTAGGTATAGATAAGGTTCAGTCCACCATCGAAGAAAATGTTTGCTAACGCACTAAAGATCAGAATGGCAATGAATTAAATCATAAGGACAGCCAGTTATTCTTGTCCAAACTACCAGGTAGCCAATTATTCACCTTTGACACCAGATGGTGGCAGCACCATCACAACAGGGTCAGATGAGCAGACAGCCCTCACATGTAGGAAAGGAATTAGAGAGCACTGCAACAGCATGCGTCCCATAATTATGGGTGGGTTCTGTAGCAATGTACTCAGTGCAATCGGTTCACAGTCAAAAAGTCTCATGTTTAAGTCCTGCAGCTGGGCAGGACTTTTGGCACATTTCTATTTACTTAGCAGTAAATTGGTACTTGGGAAGAGAAGGGAACTATCAGGAGAAAGCGCCAAGCTATTACCACTATATAGTACTTCGAAGGGATAAGGATTTGGGATGGGACGGGAGGAAGGAATGGTGGCCAGCTACTTGGACAGTCGGGGATTGAATGACGACCTGCATGAAGCGAGACTGTTGCTCTATTGTCCGGCCCCAAGTGGTTCAGTATTGGTACTTGGAAAATGAGCAACTGTTGGGTTGCATTCTGGAGAAGGTCAGTAGTATGGGCTTGGTACCTCAATAAACCTAACAAGCTTCCTTTCCCTGGCAGCACCAAACCAAATAAACTTTGCATATGTACAGTATACTTATGCAGGCTATTCTTGAAACCAGTTACACTGCCTCAATAATGATAGATAGGAAAAGGGGGGAAGATGGGTTATCAATACTTTAATGATATTGTATGGGGACAAGTGGCATTTGTAAATATTACTTTAATTTTTCTTTCCACTTGAAGAGAATATAACGGCCCTGTACTGATTGCAAGTCCAGATGGTGGTGTGGATATTGAGGAAGTAGCGGAGAAGACTCCCGAGCGTCTGATGACGCAGCCCATTGATATATACGAAGGAATTACAGACGAGATGGCCCTCAAGGTTGCAGACTTTCTTAAATTTGAAGGACCATTGAGGGAGAAAGTGAGTTGATGAGATAGGATATTTATATGAGATAAGGATATTTATAACATACAGTATATATATATTCTTTTTTTTTTAATCAAATTTAGTAGGTAATACTGATTGAAGCATTAACTGCAGTTATATTGGGATTTTTTTTTTCCAGTATGTATTGAGTTGCTGTATATATGTGTGTGCTGGTAATCAATGTTCAAGAGCAGAAATTATTAATTAAATGATGTGGTATAATGGCTCTTGTTAAATGTAATGTGCTAATATCTTGGCAAGTTACGGTAGCCCTTTATATTGACAAGATTATATTTCTACATCATGATATTTTGAATTTAGCAATTGTTAGCACTCTTATTAAGAATGTTTAGTTATTTAGACTCCATGTTTGGGAGTGTTTATACAAATATTTGTGTGCTCTAGTATTCCACAACAATATTAGTATGCACAATATTAATTAATGTTTTAATTATAAATGAACATCTTTATAACAATCATATACTGGACTGTAATTCATTTTGTTGGGAGACAGGAAAATTTGGCTCCTGATTAATAAGCTGCATTTTCAGCTACAGGCCTCTCTGAGAGTCTTGTGTAGTTTGGTTTTCATGTGTGATACCAGAACCACCACATCTCCCTATTGGATTCCGTGGAAAGTTCGTTGACCTCCAATTTCTCCTTCATGACTCATTCCCTCGGTCTCGAATTTCTGACTGACTCCATACCACCATGGTTAGGGTTTGCCTTTATCCTTTGCAATGAGTCGATGGCCATGTTATTGCTGTTGATGCACTTGCTCTCCTACAGGGCTCATCAGTCTGTGCAGGGGCATTATGTTGGTTGTACATTGCCTCGATGGAGAATTAGTGGGACTTGGACAGTTCACTCCTTTAGAGTTGAATTCTGGCTATAGCCTCTCATTTGGTTTTTCAGAGATAGCACTATCTCTTGTCCACATTCATGGGGAGTTGATTGTGGATGGCCTGTCATTGCTTCTTTCAGGTTGAACAGGCTGCAGGTAGACAGGGTCTCCTTCCTTTGGCAGTGAGGCAAACCATTGTCACTGTTCTGGGTGGACCTCTTCACATTCACCTAGTGCCGCTGTCTGTCTGTTTGCGACTCCTTTTCCACGATGGCAGTGCATTTATGGCAGAAATTTTACATCTTCATGGGACCAAGTGGGAGATAATCTGTCTATCCTTCAATCTGGATACTACTGCTGGGCCTGTGAAAGCTAAAGTCATTAGCAAGTTGCTGATCCCTTCTAGCTACTTCAACCTTCATTATTAGCTCTCTTTGTTGGTCTTTTCACTAACACAGCTCCTTTCCTGCTCTTCTCTTACAAACAATCAACCTTTGGCTTTATTCAAGATGTTCTGGGCTTTCCATCCTTTTTTGTGTGAAGTTTAATGGCCTTTTTTTTCCAATACCTTTACAGAGGTCAGTGAAGGTATTTTTATTCCAGGCTCTTCTGATGACATCATGGTATTATTTTGAGATTGCCTGGCTCTAAATTATCCTGACTCTTCATCAGATCACTTTCTTTATTTAGTTTCTCATGAAAAGAAGGCTAACCACTTTGATTTTATTTGAGAGATTGATGAAGCTGGAGCTGCTCTGGCTCCAGCTAGTCTAGTCTAGTCCTCTCCTTGTTTTCATGGTCTTTGCAATTTTTGCTCTTCCCAAGCTGCATTCATGCCTGCCTGGTTTGTTGTGGACATCCTTGCTATTCATCTCGAGTCAGCCTTAGATTCCCTACATTTTCTTCTTTCTCTAAGTCTCTCCTGCTACAAGTCTTTGTGTAAGTGTGCTGCATCATATGGTCCTCTTCTGTAGTATCTTGGTTGCCTTTCCTGATTTATATGCGGTAAGTAAGTCGGCTGCATGCACATCTGGAAGCTTGCGTTTTGTTACAAATTTTCTCCATCTATTGGATTCTTGTTGGTTTTGCTCTGCTCTTTGAGTTTTGGCTCTAGCAGTTGAGTGTGTTTTAAAAGAGAACGGGCACAAATATCATGAAAGATCAGACCTTGTTATAGAGAGTATATATGTATAATAACTTTACCTAAAATTTTGAGCCTTCTCCAATGGTGTATTGTTGGGCCACAGCCAAGCACAGTGGTTGGCTGTGGACCATTAACAATTGAGGACGGGTGTGCCACCAAATGCAAAGGGGCACAAGCGCTCAGGGAGGAGAAATGGTCAGGGCAGTGGGGCCCACCAGATAAGGATGGTTCATTACATTCAGCATTTTACTTTTTCTCCACTTTTGTCTGTGTAAAGCCAATACATTTTCATTATTGCACTTCTGAATTTTTGTTAAAAATATAATTGTGCTTTGCAAAATTCTTGCTACATAAGGGCCTGTAGTGTATGGAATAAATGTGATCCAGCCAATAGAAGTATGTACTGTATGGCAATAGTAACCCAGAGAGAGGGAGAGGCAAGCAGGCATATGTAACTCGAATATGGTCGTGTTTGTTTAAATGAGGATGATACTTGACTTTGTTGCTGTTCCAGCTCTTACCAACACAAGACTTTGGGAGCAAGTATCTTATTCTGTTGTTATAAATTAGTTTGATCTTTGTTTTCAGTGCGCTAAAGAGGTGAAGGGTGTCTGGAACATGTTCCTTAATGTAGATGCAACTCAGATTGAAATAAATCCATTGATTGAGACCCCCCAAGGGCAGGTTGTGGCAGTTGATGCAAAGATTCAGTTTGATGATAATGCTGAATTCAGGTAAGCTAAGAAGTCGTTAAGTTTTTATATAAAACTTGTTCATTCTCGTATCTAATAGGCAATGTTGTTCTTATTTACAATTTGTCGCATTATTTTGCATAATTTTTTCCCGGTACAGTTTGGTTACAAAGTTAATACTTATAATATTTGGCATATATTAAAATGTGATACTAAGGAACCAATGTTGCAGACAAAAGGACATATTTGCTCAGGAGGACTTTAGTGAAAATGATCCGAGAGAAGTGGATGCTGCTAGCCACAATCTCACATACATTGGCATGGATGGAAACATTGGCTGCTTAGGTCTGTATTTTTCATCAGTGTGTTATTTTTAGTTTTCTTTTATGTTGAGAACATTATTTTATATATACTGCTATCCTGATATTGATTCATGTTTCACTGTAATGCCCAGTTTGCTTTTTATTGATAACTTTTCATTTTTAGATTATTTACATTTATGTATTTATGTTAACCGAGTTCAGTACAGCATAATGTTATGCGTTAAGTCTTATCAAATGAACATCAAATGTATTGGATATATATGGCATTAACATATATGTTAATTTCACAATTCAGAGGTAAGCATCAGTTTTTTCTTCAAGATTATTCAAAAGGCTTCTATACTGATCAAGCCAAATATAACAGTTTATTTCTGGGTAATTAACTGAACACACTTTTTTACAACACTGACCCTATAGAATGTTCTCCATATGCATGTGATCATTCAGATTGACTGTGTGAGTGCAAGACAGACACATAGATTACCACATTTGGACTGCTTCATATTTAATTTGTGTTCTTTTAATGAGCTATTCCAATCGTATGGTTCCCACGGCAAAAGTTTCCTTTATCCAAATGAGTGGATCATGACAGAGTTACATGTGCACTCATACATTTATCTTATCAAATGTTCATGTGTGGTACAGTGGTGCTAGGGAGACACTGGAAGTGTCCAAGTCCTACTTGGCATTATAAGGATTAGCAAGTAGTTCCTCACCAAACCTCCAGTTAGCCTGTTTGGCCCCACTACCTCTAACTGCCACTAGATGGTAACACCCACACCTTGTTATGGTCCTCTGCCTCAAGTCTTGTTATAGTCTTCCCGACTGGTCCCTATGACAGTTGGAATGTCTTAAAACGGGACTCAATCAAGTGACTTGCTTCATACTTAGAAACTTTGTTTTCTTTGTGCAGCTTGCTTAGGCTTAGTACTTTCTGACAACAATACATTTATTATTTAGAACATAACTATGTGAATGGACAACTTTTCTATCTTGACTTCACTGACTAGTGATCCAGAGTTACTTTCTCTAATCTGGTTTGGTTTGTGCTATGGCAGTGAGTTTCTCTTAAAGTTCCTGCTGTATTTGTGGCTTCACAGTTCTTTGCTCCAGGATTTGGCATACGTGCTACTCAAACCGTTTTGGGTACGCTCGGTTAGCTCTGTGTTGGCCAGCTGTCTCTTTATACCTAGATCTGGCCTTTCCTGGTATTTGTGCCCATTCTCACTTTTTTTTAGTTTTGGTTACACGCTACCCTTCGCCCTTGTCATGGGGTTAGGCAGTAAGTAGCTCTTGCCTGGGCACCCAGGATTCTCCTATGTCCATCATGGCTAAACTGAGTCCAGTGGCCAATTGCTGGTTCTGACAAGTTATTTTGACCCATATTCGCTATGAGAAACATTGCAGGGTTCATCAAAACTCTGGTGCAGCTAGGAGAGGTATCGTATAGAGTAAAGTATTTTGTCCTTAAATAACTATCCCATCTGCTAGCTGTATTCTCACTGTTGGGTTCAAAGTTGGTTCCACCCTTGGGTGTGGATGCTGTGCATGCACGTGGATATATTTGATTGCTTCTTTACCTGTTAGTGAGGACACATGCCTCATTTGTTTCCTCAGGTCTTGTTTCAGCCGAGTTCTCATGACTTTTATTTTTATTAAGATTACAATCTTCCCCCCCCCCACTGTTTCCTTTTCTGAGGGTGTTAGATAGGCTTCATTCAGCCTGTCTAACACCCGTGTCTTCAGGTTTGCCACCTGTGTTTTTTTACTAAAGATTTACTATAGTTTTAGCAAATCTCTGAATGACAGAATATTTCAGGTTGTCAGGTGGTGTTCCTTAACTTTAACGGATTTTCCTTTATACATTTACATGAATCAATAATCATTATGATTCACTCTTCAACATTCCTCTTGCTAAGTTCATGACCTGAGTATTGTTCTAATCTACAGTATTACATACATCAAATTAGTAATGACTCCTGGAGACTTAGATGGTACGGTAGTGAATACATGAAAAAAAATTTCATTAATCATATTTATATTTTTTTCTACAGTTAATGGAGCAGGTTTAGCAATGGCCACAATGGACATAATTAAGTTACATGGAGGCTCACCTGCTAACTTCTTGGATCTTGGTGGAGGTGTGCAAGAACATCAGGTGGAACATGCTCTCAGGATTCTTACCTCAGGTAATTATTAGAAGTCATACATCATATCCAATAAAGTCAGTACCAGAACCCTTTTGATAACCAGGATTTTTTGGTCGTGGAGTATGTTTCTTCTCCCTGTCATACAACAGTAACTATGGTACTGTATTGTTCTCACCCTACCCGAGATATGTCATAAAGATCACGGCCCCTCTACCATGCACGAGGCATGTGATAATGACCACTCCACTTACTGTAGACCCTTTGCATATGGGGCACCTTCCAGAAGCCCCATCTACTTGGACTGTTCGGTATAGCGTTGGCCTCGGTTCTTGCATGGTTGGCATTCGATCCCCTAGGTTCCAAATAAATGGGCACTGTTCCTTTACTTCTTGTATCCCAGTTGTTAGTCTGTTCTCGTATCCCTTCCAGTATTTTATGACTTGATACTGTCAAGTCAAGTCATGTTGCCCTATCCATACACATTTCTTCATTAAGAAGTTGCCAAATACACTGTTGGATACTTTGTAATTAATTGATTATGATAATGCATGTGTGTTAATTACCGACATATTTAAATCTGCCAAAACACTGAATAGTTTACTTTCCAGTTATTGCTCCTATAGCTTCCCCAAAGCACATTCAAAAAGCATAAAAATAAATTGGGTGTTCTACATATGCATGAATGGTTTGTTTAGAAATGTTGGCATTCTCAAATTGTTTTCATGCAATCTTTCAAAAATTATTGGCCTCTTACTATATTATAGTTTTGGCATATTAGGGTAAATATATTTTTTTTTGCTGAATATTTCCAATTTCAGATCAGAATTGTCAGTCCATCAATTTTGCCAAATGACAGAACTAAAATAGATAAGCCATTAAGATAATTTAGGCTGTAGGAAATAGATGAGATAGTACTGTATGGGTAAGCAAAAATAAAAGGGGAAACAATACAATGTGAACTCGCTTGAACAAACTATAAGGCAAGGTCAGTTCGGACTGTCAGGTTCCTGCCAGGCCCCCCTCTTTTCCTGATAAAAATAAATACTTTGTAGAGAACCTATACTCACTTCAATGTACATATATATATAGGTTTGTTACCAGTATGGTAGTGTAGTGAAATATCTTCATAATAACCCTGATGCATATTATGTAAGTACAAATCTATCATGACTAACATTTCCCCAACTGAATTAAGAAAATAAAATTGACAGGTTTATTTATTGTGCTTAATTTTTGACGATCGCATAGGATAGAGGAATTGGCAAACAACTACATACAAAATTATAACTGCCCAGTTCTCCCCAGTATAATTGTTATCATTTTTATAACAATTATAAAAATTGTATATGACAATTATACAGTCCAGCACAAAATGTTCACTAGTCTAGATTTTAAAAATTTGAATAAATTAGTTTCTTATGCACTCATCAATTTGACCATCACATAGGATAGAGCAATCATTGATAAACAATATGGTGTCAATATCATATGTACAAGACAGGACCAAGAAACGTAAAAGAAAATAGTGTGGTGGAAACAGGTGACGCAGCAGCCTCGCCTCGCACCAGCACCACGCACCTCGCAATGGGAGGCGTTAGTGTCTTGGAAATATTTCCATGTGTGTGTTGGTAATTTTGTATGTAGGTACTGTATTGAGTTGTTGTCTGACAGTAATCCATTTATAATAATTTGTTACATTTTAGTACTAGGTATTTTGTTATATTTTGTATGTATTTTGTCAATACTGTACTGTACTGTATTTGGACTTTGATCTAAAATTCCTTTAAACATGTATGTTCCACAATAACACATGGTGCAATAATTACTGACTAAAGAAGTTAATTGCATTTCTGCTAATAATAGTGAAGATTGCTTAAAATGCTTTAATCCCAAGAGTTAGTTTTGGTTTTTATCTACCTACCATATAACTAAAGTTGTTTTATGTGCTATTAAAGTAATTTTTTTTTTTTCAGACGATTCTGTAAAAGCTCTTTTTGTGAACATATTTGGTGGCATAGTAAACACAGCCACCATTGCTAATGGTCTCGTGAAAGTTTTACGAGACAGAGACATCAACATTCCATTGGTGGTCAGGCTGGAAGGTATGAACTATTTTATAAGGAAATCCCTGACACACTTTTTAAATGACAAAGAAATGACTTTTGCTCTTGTATGAGATACTGTATTTTAGTCCTTGGCATACATGTGGAAATACAAATTGAATAATGAAGTTTCTGCAGTACTCTATATTTCAATACTGTATACATTTATTATACTGTATTTTTATAATCAAGTATGTTTCTGTATTGTAGTTGTCATAAAAATAAAATGTACTTTATTTGCATGTAATATTTTTGGATGAGAATATTGGAGTTAAAGAATTTTCTAAATAATCTTTTCAGGAACAAATGTAGAAGAAGCTAAACATATTTTAGCTACGTCTGGATGCCCTATCCAGTCTGCGAGTGACTTGGATGATGGTGCTAGGAAGGCTGTGGCAGCTATCAGCTAGTGCAGCAATTGTTGCTTGCTGAAGAAACTTGTCGGCTAACATCCATGTTACTGTACCTTCATTCTGGGTATTTCTACGACTTACTGATACCATTATTCAGTACTGAAGTGTAGTATTGTCATTTAGCCGCCTACATATGTGAGACTGTGATATCTCCAGACCCCAGTTAAAGTCATGTAAGTGTTCTAGATTGTGACATATGAGTATAGTGTGTATATTTAAAAGTTTTTTATTATAAATTAAAACAAATCTAACTTAAAAACCTGACCTAACTTAAACAGGCCAACTACTACGCAATAGTGCCCGATGTAGGTAAAGCAAACCTAACCTAATTAGAAACTCGTATTGTCAATATATATAACTAATATTACACACAGAAATCACAGAAATCAATATTATTAGGGGTGAACAAATTTCAAGACATTTGAATTTTGGCCTGAAAATACCAAACATGGTAGGATGACAATCTTGAATTTTTCAGGTTTCAGCTCAAATCTGATGATCCAAGTAAATGTAATATTGTTACTTACCAGTATGTTATATATGTGTATTGGGGAGGGGGGGGGCAGGATGTGTGTGAGAGTGAATGAGTTATTGAACATGATTGAAAGTATTAGATCAGCAATTCTAGCACAAGTCTTCTCCATATTTCTTATGTTCTTTACTTGAGAAGGAAGTTAAAAAATCAACTGTAGTACATTTTACAGTTTTATTGGGCCCAAGACGTGTTACTGAATGACGCATTTTGACGAAGCTAACAGCTTTTGGAGGCAGAGGTGAAGTGGATACAAATTACCTGAAGTAGCAGTGCAGTATATATGCCTTATAGGATGTGAGGTGAGGTCCTTTTGCTAATGCAGTTGCTGTTGACTGAAGCTGTAGGTTTATTGTTAGCTGGCTATTTGGCATTGGAATGGTAGGGCATACTTCAGTGTAAGCTGGCTGTTAATAGTTTGGTGATAAGTGTTTGATATGTGGTGTTCATTGATAAAGTTCTATTAATTTTGCATTGATAGGCACCTTGAAAGGAATGTCTTTTCTATAAAGTATATAAAGATCATTGGGGATAACTGTCTACAAGTGGGTATTGAGCATAGACAATATTACAGTAGTGTCTTTCAAGGCATTTTTGGTTGGGAAAATTCTCCTATTTGATGTTGGGAGAGCTCTTCATAAGCAAGTTTGCACTCATCTTTTCCTTGTATATTGTGAGCTACAAGAGTAAAAAGATTCTCTTTCCTTGCTATTTCTCATTTGGATTTTTTTTTTCTTCTTGCTTTCGAATTTCTAACAATTGAGCAGCTGTCCAAGGTTCTCCACTTTGTGAGTTTCTCTGCCCCTTTCACATAAGCGGTTAGCAACTACCTCACTAGTTCCAGCTAAATAGTCTTCCAGGTTTGGTGCCTTCTTTTGATAATTACTTTCTGCTTCTTGGCATCTCTCTCGACTGACAGGCGACTCCTGCAGCGCCCTCGTGAATTTGGAATCATTTAACCCTATGCATGGTTGCATAGGGTTAAATGATTCTGTGGTGGTTGAAATACAATATTGGCTGTTTCTTATCTCAGAAGATATTAAGACATTTGAGTTTTGCTGCGTTCCCAGCCATATTGGTATTGCCTTAAATAACCGTGCAGACTTTGGCCCTAAGGAGGCTATCCACATTTACCCTATTTTCCTAAAAGGCATTCCTTATTCAAATTTCCACCCAGTCATTCACTCGGAGACCACTGGTAGGGTTGGTGGTCTGGGGTTGCAGGTATCAAACTCCACACACTTAAAAAGTAACCAATCCCCTATCCCCTCCTACTGGAACAGACGGGAGCAGCTTTGGCTGGGTCACGTATTAGTCATACGTACCTAACTCATGGTCACTTACTGGCATGCTGTCTTGCTCCTTATTTTCCAGGCAGCATTGTCCCACTTACAGTTGTGCACCTCCTTGTAGAATGTCCTGGTTTTCAGGATGATCATATCTTGCTTTCCTAATGTCTCAAGATAATTTGTCCCTTGATAGAATCCTTGGTAAATCTGATACCTTTGATGTTGCTTCCCTTATGTGTTCTTGTTCTCATATTTGCATCCTAAATGATATTCAGTGCCTTCTGAATATCCAATGACACTGAAGGTGCTACATAGTCTTCCCAGCTTTGTGTCACCTTTTGCTAATTATTTACTTGATTGACAGGTCCTTAGGGATGCCTAGCAGCTCCATCATGGTATAGTTACTTTTAACAGTCGCTCTACTGAGATTTTGTTCTCTCAAATTTCTTTCTGGTCAAAAGCTGGTATTGAGAGTTTGACCAATTTTCAACATTGAGATCTCAAGAAATGTTTCTATAGCTGGAAACTTATCTTGCATTTAAGATAGTTAATCACTTCATACTTTATTTTAACCAAGCAAACAGTTAAGGATTGATGCCTTGACAAAATTCTCTTGCGAATCATGAACCTAGATGGGCAGAGTTTCTTTCACCCTATGCCCCTGTTACCTAGCAGTAAAATAGGTACCTGGGTGTTAGTCAGCTGTCACGGGCTGCTTCTTGGGGGTGGAGGCCTGGTCGAGGACCGGGCCGCGGGGACACTAAAAAGCCCCGAAATCATCTCAAGATAACCTCAAGATAGATAAATGGCTTGTGAGGCACTGCACCACCAAATTGAGCCATAAACACTCCCATCAGTTATTTAAATTGATGGTAGTGTTTATATATTTAAATTGTATTGAACATACAGGTATTTAAATTGTATTGTAATTTTTACTGTCAGGAAGTATATATATTTTTGGGGGGGGGGCTTATCAAGATCCCCCCATGGCAGTCTACTGACCTTTCCCAGGATGCAACATAAAACAGTTACCCAGTTCCTGGGTACCTATTTACTGTTAAGTAAATGCCTATTTACTGTTAAGTAAACAGGCATTAGGAGAAAGAAACATTGTCCAAACAACGTCTTGCCTCTGAAATTGAATCCCGATACTTATTGCCCGTAACCCAATTGTGCTGAATACTGCACCACAATTGGTGAATTTGTTTCTTGTTGGGAGAATTATTAAGTATGGTATTTAGATTTTTAACAAACTTATAATTCTTAAACTTAGTACAGTATTATAATACAAGCATCTAATGTACCGACCCTTAAGAAAAAACAAAGGAATGATGTCTGACATCGATGTAATTACCTAAGTGTAATTACCTAAGTGTAGTTACAGGATGAGAGCTACGCTCGTGGTGTCCCGTCTTCCCAGCACTCTTTGTCATATAACGCTTTGAAACTACTGACGGTCTTGGCCTCCACCACCTTCTCACTTAACTTGTTCCAACCGTCTACCACTCTATTTGCGAAGGTGAATTAAGATGTGTGATTTTTATTATGTGACTGAATAATTCTATGTATTTAAGGTGCAATTCAGTACTTTATATTGATGCCGAGGATAATGTTTTAACTTGATTTGCTCTTTTAATTATTTAAAACATTTTTGGGCTGCATAGTGAGAGTGAGTACAGTAAAGACAAGGTTATATATTTATATTAAATTCTCTAAAAGCATTATTTTAGTCAGTTAATTGTGCTGGTGTGTTGGGAAGATTTTCATAGTTTTTTTTTAGTTTTTTTTATTATTTTCTAAGTTGAGCATGAATTATGAAAAGTATTTCTCTCATTCCTTATTCCATTGTATTTTAAATAAATTGTACAGTTCTTGTTAATAAATATAATTTGTATTTTACTTTATTTCCTTTTCAACAGCAGGAGACAGAGAACAGTAAAGGCTAAATGTATTAAAATGTACTTCGTGTGCGAGTCGGTGGTCTTTTCCCTTTAAATAAAAAAGAAGAAAAAATAAAAGCAGTGAAAAGCTGTGTACCTCAGGACACAGTCTTGGCACTACTGCTTTTTCTTATTCTCATGTTAAATACAGTGATATCACAGCATTTGAACACTATTCAAGAAAAAAAAGCTTGGTAGTTGACCATTTGCTCGACCCTCTACATAACCTTCCCGGTTTGGTGCCTTCTTTTTGATAATTACTTACTTGCTCGGCCCTCAATTGTAAAAATGTCGCAACACATGACAGTTGAGGTGGTGAGGGAGGATGTCTGTAACTGTGGAAAACCTGTGTTTTCCTGTTGAAATACAATGCTGTGTCTCGTTTAGAAATATTTTAAAATGCAGGTAAAAATAAATATCATTGGACAGGGGACTTCCCTGCCAAACAATGACATCTCTCTTTTTTTTTTTTTTTTTTCCTTGCCACCTTCCACATATGTGCCCCCCCCCCCCACTCCATAGTTCCTCCTTGTCATGGTGAGGGGGGCTCACGTACACCTCCCTGGGACCAGTGAGGGTTGCCTTAGCTCCCTTTCATGCCCCTCTTTGGGAGTTGTACTTCCAAAGGGAAACAAACATAGGGGCCTGGAGTCAACAGACCACCCGCTGGAGGGGGTCGCCTGTGATGGGGCTGACACCCAACCATCCCTAAGTGGATGATTGGGTGTCCAGGCTGGGGCAAAAGGGAGAATGAATGAGGCAGTAGGACTCCCGATAAAAAGGGGAAGCACCTCTGGGGACGACGCATCCCTTCCTGCATTGGTCAGTGCTCGACGTCCCTGGCTGCCCTGGTAGGTGGTATCCCTTGACTCCAGGCCCCAGAGTCGGATTGTAATGGACGACCGGGCTCTGTAGCCCCTGCTATGTTGGGCCCAGACCAAGCTGCTTCAGTAACCTGCCCGACTACCCCCTCTGCTCCCCTCCCCAAGGTTGAGCCCCAAGCCCCCAGTGTTGACCCCCCTCATCACCTGGAGCGGCTCCCTCTCATTGTGATCACTCCCCCTTTTACCCCCTCATCTTACTGTGGTTGCTCATCACCGTTCCCTCCACAGACGCAGTCACGATTCCTCCCAGTTCTACTTTGTTCCAAGCCTTGTTTGATCCTGCTACACGGACTAAGTACTTTGATCTCAATCATGTGGATTCTACATGCCTGACGATTTCTTCCTCCATAAACACCTCGTTGATTCGGTGGATACTTTTGTTACTTTTAATCTCGCCCGTACTGGTACATGTGACTTGTTGCTCCTTCTCGAGAAGCAGCTGACCGCTTAGCCACGTTGTCCAGCATTGGGGGGACCAGTTAGGCTCTCCAAAAATACCCGGTTAAATGTCAGTATTGGCACGGTTATTCTCCCGCACCATGTTGCGACTGGTGTTAGGGACCTGAAAGACTGCCACAAGGATATTAGGCATATCCTGGCTTGAAGCCCAAGGCCAGTCTGTCCTCCAGGTTGATACATTCATGTGACCCACTTGTGGTTGTCGTCATCTACCTCTTCGAGTTGTGAAGATCACTTTTGATAGGTCCCTTCCGCCTTCTGTCATTCTTAATGGTGCTGGATGCTCCATTCAGGAGTACATTCCCCTCTCCTAAACTTTGCAATAGGTGTTGGAAATTTGGCATGGTCCCCTTAAATGCACGCGTGCAGTCTCTCTCTGCTCCTTGTGTGGGGACACTGGGTCACTCTTAAGACAGAATGCTCTTCCCAAGCTCGCTGCATCAATTGCGATGATGCCCACCCTACCTTCTCCCTCATTTGTATGCACTACAAATTTGAGGAGGCCTTCCTTAATTTGAAACACAGCGATAGTTTGTCTTTTCCTGAGACGAGATGCTAAGTACACCGTCTCCCCTCTTTTGCTGGCATGTTTTATGCTCATGTGTTGCGCTCCACCTCTCCTCCTTTCTTGGTCTCACAACTGTTTCCATGCTTTACACCTAGACACGCCCACCACCGCCTCACCTACTCCTTTTCGTTCTGATCCAGGGGGTCATCCTGGTTCTCCATCTGGTGTTTCCTTCCTTCCTTCCCAGTCTGCACTGTCTCCTGTGTCCTGTTTCCCTTTCTCCCCAATCCCTCTTCCCAGCCCTCCTCTTTGTCTTTTGGCCCTCCACGCCACCTGTCTGTCCAGGCTGTTGTCCATCCTCCTCCCAGCAATCTTCATGTTATTGCTCCCGTTTTCCTGTTGAGACTATGGAGGCTGTCGCCCAGTACGTTGTTGCTGGCACACCTGTCTCCATAAGTTAGAAACGTAAGCCTGGCTCCTCTCCTCCTTCCTCCCCGGCAGGTAAGAAGGCATCGCTTTCTTCCCCACGCTCCGACTATCTCTGCATCCCCTCCCATTTCAGTGGTCGAGCCCCTTATCCCAGCTATGGGGGTTCCCTTGGCTCTCGATTCTCTCTCAGTTGCTGCCCTGGATGAGGTGTGCTTCCTTGTCTCTGCCCCCCCCCCCCCCCCCGATTTCTTTGACTACCCCTCTCCAATACCAGCTTCCGCTCTGCACCCTATCTGTCCGCTGCTGGTCTGTCCTCCCGCTCCCGACTCCATCATCCTTGCTGGATTTACCAATGCCCTCTAACCATGATTTCACTGATCCTGACCTTATTTAGTGTAGTGTGTTGTTCTTGGCCTTTGTTTCTACCTTGTTCTCTGTTTTTGTTATCTCTAATTTTGACACTGTCTATTCTTCAATAGAATATTCATGGATTTTATGCCAACTTCCATGAACTCCAACTTCTCATAACACAGTTTTCACTGCTTTGCGTTTGTCTCCATGAGCCGATGCTTGGTGCTCGTCCTGGTCACTTCTGTGGTTATTCCTTTTTGTCCCCCCCCCCCTCCCCCCAGCTCTTGCTGGGGCCCATAACTACTGCTCTCTTGATTCGTACTGATATTACCTTCGTCCCCCTACTTTTTTGGTCGCCCATCCAATGTTCTGTAGCCTGTATTTTTGCGAGTAAATGGTATAAATTCCGTTCCATTTATCTTCCCCAAACGTCCCACTTTCTCTTCCTGATTTTAAGCACGTGTTGAACTCCTTACTGGAGCCTGTGCTCCTGTTGGGTGATTTCAACTGTTGGCATACCCTCTGGGGTGATGCTCTGACAAACACCCTGGTCCGCCATCTCGAACCAATTGTCCTCTGAACAAATCCACAAGGGCCGTCCCTTCCTCTTCTGAATTCTGGTGAACCTGTTCCGAACATTAATGGAATCTGACCCATATATCAATCAGGTCAACCCATGTGTTGCGTTTCCAAAAGGGTCGCCCATGTTAGAATCGGTGAACGCCCTAGTAATATTGTTGAAAACATCTTAATAACTTATTAAACCAAAGGTCTTTTTATGTCAGAAGAACGGCAGAAACTGGATCTATATATGAAACCTCTTTCAGGACAAAATTTAAAGTAAAACTAAAGATATTTGTAGTTGTATAAAAGTTGCATTTTTCATCGGTCGTAGAGCCGGAAATCCGCAATATTCATCTCAGAACAATGCTTATTTCGTCTGATCCTCCTCTGCCCAAGATCTGGAAGAAAATTCACAAGATAGTGGGTAAGTTTGTTCCAGATGTCTCACCAGTCCTTCACCTCCGTGGTACTCGTGGCGGATCCAGTGACGGTTGAGACCGAACTGGGTTCCCACTTTTTGACTGTTAACTCTGTTTCTCATCTTCCTCAATCTTTCCTTATTCATTAGCCCATTCTTGAATCTCATCCTTTAGCTTTCTGCACTCATCTCCGACTTCCCTACAATGATCCCTTCTCTTTCTCCGAACTTCAGTCTGCAATGGCCCTCTGCGATTCTATGGCAGCTGGATAAGATGACATTCGTTATGAGATGCTTCACCATCTCCTTCCATGCATGAATCTGTATAGCCGTATCTGGGAGTCGTCAGTCCCTGAGGACTGGTTCGACACAATTGTTCTTCCTATTCAGAAACAAGGGTCTCTAGGGACATCCCCTAAGGACTTCCGCCCATTGCCCTCACAAGTTGTGTCTGCAAACTCTTTGAACATATGGTCAATGTCCGTCTGATGTGGTTCTTGGAACACTACAGTATCACCACCTTTTCCCTTCTCAATTTGGCTTTCGCAAGTGCCGCAGCACGACTGATGTCTTGGTGAACTTGGAGGTCTATATTCGTACTGCTTTTGCTGTGAAGACCTCCGTTGTTGCTGTACTTTTTGACCTGGAAAAAGCATACGACACCACATGGAGATACCATATTCTGTCCCAACTTCATTCTTTTGACCTTTGTGGTAATCTCCCTCTCTTCCTTCAAAGCTTTCTCGTCGTACCTTTCGAGTCAGGCTTGGTACCACTCTCTCTGCCTCTTTTCGGCAGTATGAAGGTGTGCCCCAAGGTAGTGTTCTTAGTACTACAGTACTCTTTTTTTTTTTTTTTTTTTTTCTGGTTGCCCTCAATGGTCTTCTTTCCTCCCTTCCTTCTGGCATCATCTCTGCTCTTTATGTTGAGAATCTTACTCTTTGCTGTCAGGGTGATCGATTCGCCTCTCCTTCAACGGCGGCTTCAACTTGTGATTGATGCTGTGTCATCTTGGGCCACCGATCATGGCTTCAAGTTCTCTACTACTAACACTTGTGCAATGACTTTTACTCGGAAGCGGGTCGTTCTTCGTCCCTCTTTGTCACTTTATGGTCATCCCCTTGAGTACAAAGATTCCACGAAGCTTTTGGGGTTATTCTTTGACACTCGTTTGTCTTGGTCGCCCCATGTCTCTTACCTCCGTGTTGAATGCTCCAAGGCCCTTAACCTACTTAAGGTTTTGTCCCATACTTTTTGAGGAGCGGATAGACGCACGCTCCACGCTTCTCTTATTTGCATTCCTCTTGTCCTGTCTAAACTCGATTATGGTTGCCCTGCATA